AGCCAGGAGTTGACGCGGTAAGCTTTGTCAATTTGCCAGCCTTGGTTGGTCCCTGGTCTTCCCATCAGGCGGTCAAAAGCTTCCGATAGGATCTGTTTCAGGTTCTCCTGTTTCTCCTCACGCAGCCCCCTTACTCTTAATGCAAGCTCTTATGTATGGACAACTTGATATCACTCATGCACACTCAGTCACATGACCACCACCCCATGTGGCAAAAAAATTTGGGACTCCTATGAAGGAGAGGGGGGGAAGAGAGGGGAAAACCTTCCAAAAATAGACAACTGGAGGATTAAGGGCCTAAATTAGGGAGATCGGAGAAGGCAGGACAGAGGGGAATCCAGTAGAAAACTCCTGAGCTTGCCGCTGCTGTCCGGTGGATTGTGCCGCTGGACTTCTCCATGCTTCTCCGTTCACCACCTCCACTCCCAGGTATGGGACTTGACACCGAATTGGACTAGGATAGTGCGGACGGGCGGGGGGAGCCAGCGATGGAGCTGCTTCCAGACAGGCGGGGGTGAGCAAGCGAGCAACAGGGCGGGGCAGGCATTCCGGAAGTTACTTCCGGGTCCACCGGTTGAACCTCCTCTCCCCGGATTGGTAAATTTCACCATCCAGTTCTCCCGAGCCGGTGCGAACCGGCAGAAACCCACCACTGGTCATTGGTCTCCATCTATAGGGTGTTACTGCCCATGGATCCGTGTCTCCTGCAACCCTGGCTTGCAATCTCCTCTGGAAAGAAAGCCAAGAGCTTTTTCTTAAAGCAGTACACTAAAGAAAAATATAATAATGGGGAGAAGGCAATCGATTTCACAAAAATTGGCTTCAGAAAGGAAAACAGGCCTTAAAGCAACAACGGGGCTCTCTTTTCTTAAGAGCAGATAAAAGGGATTGGACTGCATCTGCTATTGACACTCTGAAAGCCCTTTTTTCAAGAGACCTGTAAAGGTGTTAATAGGACAATTTTTCTACAAAGGGTGAGCAGACAAAAAAACACCCCTGCCTTAAAAGAGAGAGAGAGAACTTGCTTCCAAAGAAAAGACAAATATTTCACTAGTTGTGATAAGTTGTTAAGAGGCAGATTGGCATTTGTCTTCATAGATTGGTGCTCTTTTATTTATCTCTGGTTTTTTTTTATTTAACAAAAAAAAATGTGGCAGGCTTTAAGCAAATGCAAATCAATCTTCAAATCAATTTACACGGCTAGACTAAAAAGAAGAGGGAAGTGACATACAGAAGCCGTAATTAGCTGCTTCTCCTGTTTGAGCTTTGTGGCTTCCCATCAGTGGCGGTATTCTACCGGTTCGCACCGATTCTAACCAACCGGTACTGCCAGTGAGCAGTTGCAGGATGGGTTCTGGCTTCTCTTACTGCCAGTTCGCTCAGGGACATGCTTCACATTGCACACCAGTGGTGCATTGCAGGGGGTATGGACGTACCAGAGCCTGCCCGGAGCACCAGATACCGTTCCGGTACGATGCTCCAGAAGACCCACCCGCCTGCCCGAACTCCTTACCGGTCTTTTAAGTCTTTGGCATTTCTGCACATGCGCATGGCACGTACAGCGCCTGTGCGATGCTCCGTTGAGCAGCTGGAGCATCACAGAGGCTTGCGGCAGTGCTAAGATGCAGGCGCCCTCTGCGTGCGCCCAACCTGTAGCAGTTGGAATGGGTTCTGGAACCCACCACTGGTGCACACACTTGATGCACACTACACACGCATGCACAGTAGTAAAAAAAATCCTTCAGTGCATGCGCGGAAGCAAAAAAACAAGATGGCAGCATCTATGGTGCCGCCAATAGAACTGGTTCAGGGGCGTGGCCAGCTGAGTTACTACCTACTCAGCCAAACCAGTCTAAACTGGTAGGAACCAACTTCTGAGCAGTTGGCCCTGCCCTTTCGTGTCCTATATTTCCCTATTTTTTTAGCTCAGCTGATTCGCATGGCACAGCGGATTGCTGTGTGTTAGCTGTTTTACTCACCATCGCTGACATAGAAGGCAATTTTTTAAGCTTAAAATGGGCACGCACTCACTGAATCGGTTGTTAAACCGGTTGCATCCCACCACTGCTTCCCCCTCAGTGGGTTTTTGTAGGGTGGCATTGCAGAAACAAAGGGGGAAATAGATGGGGTAGAATTTGTCCTGTCATCTTTCTTCATTTGCACAGATTCTTTGAGAGTGAGCCTGTTGGGGAGTTGGGCAAGAGATTGCCTCTTTCCATTGTTGTGCTTGGCAAAAGAAAGTGTGTGTGGGGGGGGGGGGGGCACAATTACCACTTTTGCTGTGACCAAAAAGCAATTACAGAAAAGTTTCACTTCCCCGGCAGTGTGGAAGTTGTGCTGAAATTCCTGTTTGGAGTGTCAGCAAGGTGGATTTCACAGCATTTAAGGGGTGGTAGTAATTAGGGTAGCACCCCCAATTAGAAGTAAGCACTGGGCTGTCCTTTCCCGGAATTTCAAATTTGCATATTTTGCAACTGAGTCTTCCCGGTACACCTGATACGCCGTGATAGAGAGAGGAGGAGAGACCTTCCACTTACGATTAGAGAAATATCTTGTTTTTCAAACTCTCAATCAGGAGTCAGCAGTAACGGAATAATCGTGTTGGAAGGGACCTTGGAGGTCTTCTAGTCCAACCCCCTCCTGAAGCAGGAGATCCTATACTATTTCATACAAAAGGTCGTCCAAGCTATTCTACAGGCAAGCCATTCCAATGATTAATTGTTCCAATTGTCTTGTCTTCCCCAACTATTTCGTAAGGTTTTCATGATTCCATATGATGGCTTAGGCAAGCGCGTCCACACACAGTCATTAACTCTGCAGGATCCAATCTTGGTTGGTCATCAAGATCAGAGATCTAGGCTTCCAAGCTTTTGGACTCGTGTTGGAACCAGATTGGATCTTGCAACATTCATGTCGCTAACTCTGTTGGCATGACTTGAGATCATTAGGTTGTGAGCTGCTGAAGAATTGGTGCCTTTGAAGCAACACTTCCAATAGCCCTTTCTCAGCAGCTAAAGCATCAATCTGCAACTACTATACAGGTAGTCCTCAACTTACGACCACAATTGATCCCAACTTAGCTAACCACAATTGCTAAGGGAGAAACTTGCTAAGTGAGCTTTGCCCCATTTTTCCTGCCCCATTTGTTCAGTGAACCACTGTAGTTGTTCAATTAGTAACAGCGTTGTTAAGTGAATCTGGTTTCCCCATTGGCTTTGCTCGTCAGAAGGTCACAAAAGGCGATGACACGACTCCTGAACACTGCAACGATCATAAATGTGAGTCAGTTGTCAAGTAAATCATGAGGGATGCTAAAACGGTTGTAACTGTGAAAAACGGTCACTTTTTGGTGATGTCGTAACTTTGAAGCGTCACTAAATGAACTGTTGCAAGACTACCTGTAATTAATTTTAGTCATTTAATTGATTTAAAACATTTATGTAGCCACCTCTCTTTCAGCCAACTCTGGGGCAGCTCCAAATAAGAAAATTAAAAGACATAGAAAATCATTTTTAAAAATTATAAAACACAGCCAGTTAAAACATGGAGCACTAAAACAATGAAAAACTGGTGCCAATCCATGTTAAAACATATTGTCATCTAAACCTGTCCCAGTGCTTGTGGGGGGGGAGATCCTTTTTCCAAGGATTCTGTATCGATCTTTGAACAAAGATTTACAGAGACCCTCATCCAGAATCCCTTCGGATGGGCGGGATCTCAGTTCAAAATAGCATAGCAATAGCATCTATGCTTATATATAGGTAGCCCTCAACTTACAACAACAATTCAGCCCAAAATTGCTGCTTTCAGCGTGATGACAGAAATCCTGTCAGTTTGAAATTCAGCCCCTGGAAAAGATTAACATAATTTAGAGTCAGAATAGAACTGGAAGGGACCTTAGAAGTCTTCTAGTCCAGCCCCCTGCTCAAGCAGCAGATCCTGTACCATTTGAGACAAGTGACTGTCCAGTCTCTTCTTGAAAAGCTCTAGTGATACAATACAATAGCAGAGTTGGAAGGGACCTTGGAGATCTTCTAGTCCAACCCCTGCCTAGGAAGGAAACCCTATACCATTTCAAACAAATGGTTATCCAACATCTTCTTAAAGANAACCCTGAGCCGGTGAGATTTGAACCGCTGACCTGCTGATCTAGCAGTAGCCTGCAGTGCTGCATTTAACCACTGCGCCACCTTGGCTCAGTGTGGTTCAGAGAAAACTCATAAATGGTTCCTCATCAAACCGGACTATAATATTAACTAACGTCACAAGATACTAATCAGGTTTCACTCTTATTTAGCTTTTTCAGATCAGCCAAATCAGGCTCAAAGTAAGCTTTTAAGATATATCTGAATTGTTTTAGTAAATCATAGTTTAGCCACCATAGTTTAAGGTTTGAAAATTATTTTGAGCTGAGTAATAAATTATGCTGGGCAGACCACAATACAGGTGGTTCTCAATTTAGGGCCGTTACTGAGCCCAGAATTACTGGCAATAAGTCATTATGAGCATAAGTCAAAACATCACATGAATGGATCCATTTTTTTTTGACATTTTTTGGTGATGGTTAAGCAAATGCCATAGCCGTTAAATGATTCAGTTTTACATAATGGGCGTTTATTGTTGGAAACTAGAAAAAAATGCCAGAAACCAACCTGCTATCATGTCATCCCTAATTTGTCTTTTCTCTAGACTAGCCAAACCCAAATCAACCGTTCTTCATGTGTTTTAGTTTCCAGGCCTTTGATGATCTTAGTTGCTCTTCCCTGTACTTTCAATATCTTGTCTGTAGTGTGGTGACCAGAATTGGTTGCAGTATTCCAGGTGTGGTGTTACTGGAGTTTTATAAAGTGGTACTAATACTTCACGTGATTTTGATTCTATGCCTCTGTTTATACAACCCAGGGTTGTATTTAGCTGCCACACACTGCTGGTTCGTATTGAAGTGATCATCCATTAGGACTCCAAGGCCACTCTCGCAGTTACTGTTTTTGAGCCAGGTCTCGCCTAATCTGCACGTACACCTTTGTTTTTTCCTGTCTACATGTAAAACTTCGCTTTTCTCCACATTGAAATTCATTTTGTTGGATAGGGCCCATTGTTCAAGTCTGTCAAGATCTTTTTGGATCCTGAACTTGTCTTCTGGGGTGTTGGCCAGAGGTGGGATTCAGCCGTTTTGGAACGTTTTGAGCGAACCAGATGTTAATTTTACATCTCGTTCGCCGAACTGGTAGTTGCAAGGACTAGCTGGCCCCGCCCCTTCTAGGAGTCTCCACGCGGCCCATTCATGATGGCAGGTAAATCGGGGCCCACACAGAGGCTCTGGGAGGGGGAAAAACAGGCCTCCCAGAACTTCCGGAAGTCCAGAAATGGGCCTGTTTCCGGCCTCCAGAGCCCGGGGGAGGCCATTTTCGCCCTCCCGGAGACTCGAGGAAAGCCTCCGGAGCCTGGGGAGGGCAAAAATGTCCCCCCCCCCATGGTACAGGAGGCCACACAGCAAGCGGGCAGAGAACCAGTTGCTAACATTTTTTAATCCCACCCCTGGTGTTGGCTTATTCCTCCCAGATGATTACTGATAAACAGCGTCCAAACCAAGCCAATATTTACATGCATGGAGGATAATCAGGTTAAGATATTTTTTTTAAAAAAATGCCAAAGTGGGATGGGTATATGAAGACCTCTCTGGTTACAATACTGTAGTCTGTCAAAATGGACGGTTGTGTCGCCTGTCTTTGATCTTTGCATGGTTTTTGAAATTGACTCATTGCCATGACACTTACAGTTAACAGATAAGTACGGGTCTTATCTGCAAAATTTTATCAGGGACGATCTGTGGAGGTCTGAAAAAAATTGGGGTGGTGGGTATAATAATGGGCCAGGTCTTTGATCATGCAGTAGCACCCATCACCTTGGCTTTAATTTCCTTTTTATTATGTCATGTATGACTGTATAATTTACAAGAATACCTACCAAGCATACCCAGAGACAAGTCCTGTGGGCTCTCTGATTCCATCTTATTTGATGGGAGCTACACCTGTGCCATGCTAACGCCGTATGTGGGGGGAAATGTAAATTTTGCATTTATCTAACGTAAAACCGGTTATGCTTTTAATTTTAAGGTTTGCTTTTCTTACATCTTATTTTTAATTGTTGCATCCATCCCTTGTCCCATCCATTGGGAGGGAAGCTGTGCTACGCCTTTCTAAAACAAAATCTGTGCTTGATCTGCATTTCTACAAAGGGAAATTGTCTGCTTCTTTCCAGGTCACCATGACTGACAGAGCTGCAGCTGAAAGAGCCTGCAAAGATCCCAACCCCATCATTGATGGGCGGAAAGCAAACGTCAACCTAGCCTATCTGGGAGCAAAGCCAAGGAGTATTCAAACTGGTGAGGCCAACAGCTCTTCTCTTACTGTCACTTAAGTTATTTCACGTTCCATGCCAGCGTTTCTCAACCTTGGCAGCTTTAAGATGGGTGAACTTCAAGTCCCAGAACTCCCCATCTTAAAGCCTGCCAAACCTGAGAAACACTGTTTTATATGGACTTCTGTAGAGATAATCCAGTATAGAGCTCTAACCTGCTTTTCTCAAAAGGCACCTGGGCTTTCTGGGTTTTTTTCTTTGAAGACGTTTTGCTTCTCATCCAAGAAGCTTCTTCAGCTCTGACTTGGATGGTGGGGAATGGAAGGATTTATGTTTCTTGCAGACAGCTGGTCATTTGCATTCTTTCAGAGAGTCGTTGAGGCCACTTGGAGGTTTATCTGTGTCCTCAGGGTCACCTGAGTAGTGCAAATGGGTGTGGAGCCTTCTTGGAATTGCTGAACAGACTGTGTTGCAGACTGGAGACAGATGATGCCCTGTCCCTTCCCCTCTGTTGAGAGAGGGCTGTTCAATTTTATTCCACTCTCATGCTTTATGCAGCGTTCAAGTAAATCCTGCAGTCTTTTCTTACTTGTTTTCTACTGCCAAGCTTGCCGTATCCAAAGCCACAAACAGACTCTGTGTCTATCAGTGGAGGTGCTATTATGCAGCAGAAGCCCCAATAAATAGCCACAGATTAGGTTCAGACATTGCACTAAGCCATTGTTTCTCAACCTCAGCAGCTTTAAGCCATGTGGCCTTCCTAGAATTCCCCACCAGTATAGCAATAGCTCTTAGACTTATATACCACTTTACAGTGCTTTACAGATCTCCCTAAGTGGTTTTTATCGCCCCCAACAATCTGGGTCCTCATTTTACCTATCTCAGAAGGATGGAAGGCTGAGTCAAACTTGAGCCTGGTGAGATTTGAACTGCCAAATTGCAGTCAGCCAGCAGTCAGCAGAAGTAGCCTGCAGCACTGCACTCTAACTACTGCGCCACCATGGACCATGTATCCAATGCANATTATTATTATTATTATTATTATTATTATTATTATTATTATTATTATTATTATTATTATTATTATTATTCACATAAGTGAATATGGACAAGGCTCATCCTATAGTTGAAAGCTGTGCCCAACCAACTCCCATCTTCTAGAAATTGGATCAGATGCCTGAGATTTCTGGGAATTGTAGTCCTTCTAAGATTCAGGTTGGAGAAGAAGACTCTATTGACTTGTTCTGTAGTCCTTTGTCCACATCTATCATCTGAGAGTGATGGATGGTGTTATCTAGGGCACTAAGCCATGGACTGATTCAATCATAACTGACTTGGTTCAACCAACCCTCGTGAATTTCAAGCCACGATTGTTCCACGCAATGGCTTAATATGTGGTAGGAACCAAGCAAAGATTTGGGCCTGACCAATGTTTGTATTCTGCCTGATACATATATGTGCCGTGCACATTCTGAGATCAGAAGGTCAACACTAGTCAAGTTGCCTTCAAGGGTGCGTTTCACATAGCACAGCTTCGACCTGGGCATTTAGGAGATCTTTGCTGCAGGAAATTTCATAGTTTGGATGGAATCTAGATCACTTAGTAGATGACTACTTATATCTATGAAGTTTAACAGAGACTAGAAGCACTGCTTTGAGAGAACGTCCGCATTTATGCATCTCTACCATTGGTATTCACCGCCTCTTCTGTCCCATCACAAGAGGCTGACTACACCCAGTTTCCTGCACCCCAACTGAGCTCGCCTCCATGCACCCTTCTTTCTGCTCATATGCCAGGCTCTACAACTAGTAGTAAAATCACCTCTTCTTGACACACGTCATCTGTCAACCTTCCTCTTGAGTCCAGTGCCCAAATCTGGATATAACGATCTTAGCTGGACTTTGTCAAACCAGAAGAAGCGCTACTATTCTCGTTTCTGCTCCCTTGTCTCATCTCGGCCTCAGACTGCTGACTCATACTTCGCTTGCAGTCAACCAAAGCCCCAAGGTCCTTCTCAGATGCCATGCCAGCCATTGGGAATCACCCATCTTGAATCTCTGCATCTGAGCTGGCCTACCAAAATGCAAAGCCCATCTGCTCTTCGTCCTGATGGAATTAGACTAGAAGTTCAATGGCTGCTTGCAGGCCAGATATTTCTTCATCCTGTTTTACAGGAAGTCCAGACATCATTAGTAACCTCCCCCCTTTCCCCATGACTTAATACAATAGCAGAGTTGGAAGNAAAGAAAGAAAGAAAGAAAGAAAGAAAGAAAGAAAGAAAGAAAGAAAGAAAGAAAACACATGGCCAGCAAGCCGCTCCCACCAGGTCACATGGCCAGCAAGCCACTGCCACAAAGGAAGCCACACCCACAGAGTAGGTTCGAAAAATTTTTGAAACCCACCACTGGATCAGATCCACACATGTAGGTCCAATTAAACTGATTTATTTCTGTGGCTAGGAATCTCAATGGTAAAAGGCAAAAGATAAAGATTCACCTCGCACATACGTGCTAGTCGTTCCCAACTCTAGGGGGCGGTGCTCATCTCCGTTTCAAAGCCGAACAGCCAGCACTGTCCAAAGATGTCTCTGTGGCCAGGTGACTAAACACCAGAGGTGCACGGAGCGCTGTTACCTTCCCACCAAAGGTGGTCCCTATTTTTCTACTTGCATTTTTTACTTGCTTTCGAATTGCTAGGTAGGCAGAAGCTGGGACAAGTAATGGGAGCTCACTCCGTTATGCATGCTAGGGATTCGAACCGCCAAACTGCCGACCTTCTGATCAACAAGCTCAATTTCTTAGCCGCTGAGCCATCACATCCCAGACTTTACAGAATGTGTGCTTAAGACCTGCTAAACGTTAGATAAGGGTCAACAGAATTCAAGTGATTTAATCACTTGTGACTATGACGAGAGTCTAGGCTGATCCCTCTTTTAACTCTGCCCCCAGATTCTGCCACTCCTTCAAAGCATCAGGATATCTTTCTATCTCTGTATCCATGCAACTTCTTCTGGGGAGCTGAAGGTCCTTTTCTAATCAACAGTTCTTCCCAACCAGTATTTGAATCCCACCATCTTGTCAGTTGTAACACATGTCTTATGTTGTACTGTGTACACATAAAGTTTAGTTAAAGATCCAGTGGCTAAAATAAGCTATGTTTACCTTGTATGCAAAACCTGGTTAGTTTTAAGCTTGATTAAGGTAGGGGGATTTGGGGGGGTGTCTTCCATTTGGTGGAAACTAAGCCTGTTTTCTTCATGTATTATTCAATGTACTCTCTCAACCCCATATAATGAGCTAATTTGGTAACTCAGTTAAGCATCTGGTGCATGTACAACAAGTGAAAATGAGAACTCAACAATTTCTTTCCTCAAACAGTAAATATCCTTAACAACAATGTGGAGGAATAGCAACAAAAAAAGAGAGAGATGAATTCCGACTGTTAGTTCTCACCTCTTGAAAGCGTGAGCAAGAAATTTACTGCTATTATTATTGTCGTTATTAACTTTTATTCATTAAACATGAAACTCAGCCAACTTAATATTTAAAAATGTATCACAAATATTATTGACTGGCACTGATGGTTGATGGGATGATGATGATGATGAAGATGATGATGTTAATCTTTGGTGAGATTCACAGCCTTTGGGGCTGGTTGGTAGCNCTAGGCAGGAAACCCTATACGGTTTCAGACAAATGGCTATCCAACATCTTCTTAAAGACTTCCAGTGTTGGAGCATTCACAACTTCTGGAGGCAAGCTGTTCCATTTATTCTACCGCTATGTTTCTTTCTGGAAACTACATCCATGATGAAGACATAACGGACTCGGTATTTTCATCGTGGGTCTCTCAAATCCTACCCCTCTGTCGCTTAACTAGAAGGTCCAAATGTGATGGAACAGTTGAAACAGAAGACATGGAAGGAAGGGAGAATTCCATCGTGGGAAATTAATCCCTCCCTCTACTCTTCCTTGCTATCACTCAGCCCCAAAGTTGTCCCCAAACCTTCTGATCCCACTCTACTGCTATGGATCAGATGCACAGGAGGGATTTCCTGTTCTGGAGCACCCACTTCCTGCCGGGTGTTTCCCTTCCATCCTCAAGTCACATCTTCCTCCCAGCTCCCCATCTCTTTCTCCCTGCGGAACTGACAGGCGCTGGGGCTGGCAGATGCCAGCTGATGAGGATGATGAGGTGTTCAGAGTGGTCCAGGGAACCACTTAGTGGCAGCTCTGGTTCAACCATCTCAACCACCAGGGCCTCCATTTTAACTCGGGAGGGATAGACCTGGCCTCAGCCCACACCCTTATCTCCAGATGTTCCTCTGCAGACAACCTGGCTCATTTAGGCAGCCTCATCTTGGAGAGACATCATGAGTTGTGGATGGGGGAGACTTGAACAGATGAGGAGACGTTGGCCAAGAACCATCCTTTCCCTTTCCGAAGCCATTTTTCTTTGAGGTCTCCAGAGCCAAGGGAAAGCTTAAAGGACACAAGAGGAACTGGATAGGCTAACATTCCTATTTTATTCACTCCAGCCTTCCATTTGTCAGAAGACTACTCAGCCCCATTGTCTCTGGGAATTTAAGTCACATGCTTTGCTGTTGTACAAAGGCTGCGATTTCCATATCTCAACGTTTGTGATGGCTACATGGATTTACTTTGCACGTAAAAGAGAAAAGCACATCCACATGAATCAAAGAAAGAAAACTATCTATCAAGGAGAACATCTGTAGCTCACAGTGGAAACGAGGGTTTTTTGATGCTCTCTGAGCTTGGTTGGTTGAAACAAGTTTAGATGCCACCAAGGACCGTTCAGAAAGAGTTATTCCAGGGGTGTCAAACTTGATTTTCATTGAGGGCCGCATCAGGACTGTGTTTGATCTCGGGGGGGGGGGAATGGCCAAGGTGGGCTTGGCCAGCCACAACGTCACTCTTATTGGGGGCACCTGTAGTGGCCTGAGTAGCCTGCCAGCGAAAACGGGCTCCTGAGCTCCGTTTTCAGCTGCCACAGCCTCCTGCAAT